TCAAGCACATGATCCCACATGGGGCCCTGTCTTCCAGAATATACTTCCAAGCAAGTGGGGTCCTGAGAGCACCTGGTTCTCCACAAGAAATGCTTGGGCAGGCTGGGGGTGGGAGAGGAGTATCTTCAGTGCCAAATGAAAACCGTTCAGCAAGTGTGCTCCTTTTAAGAATGCAGTATGTACATGAGGACGTAGCTAAGTTGGTGGTGTGAGCTTTGCTGAAGTTCAAGACCACTTTTCTAGCAGGTCACTGGTATTTCTTTGCATTTTCTTTCCTTCTGAGTTTAGATTTTCCAACTACTTCTGGACTTCAGTAATTCCCATCTTCTTGGGACTTTCAGAATCCTGCCTTTTGAGTGCACCTAATGCCCAAGAGAGCTCATACAAGCCTATTCTGCTGTTGTCTGGCTGGGGTGTTGTGCTGGCTGGCACCTTGGGGATTACTGAAGGCACTGAGGTTCCGGGTCATTTCCGTGGTAGAAGAGATTCAGCCTTCCACGCCTGTTGCTTCGTCCCCTGGCATTTGTTGGTGGCTCCCTGGCTCCATCCTTCCAAAGTTGGCTCTTTTATTGCTGGCCAGCAGAACCTCCATTGAGGTCCTAATCCTGCCCACCCGGCAGCTTTCACAGAAGCAAGGAGAGCCCAAGGCACCCTCCCTCTTCCTCTGCTCTCCTCCCAGACTGGGCTGGTCCAAGCTCGGGGACAGTCTTCCTTTTGGCCCTGCGTTTCCAGGTGGCCGCCAGCTTTTGCCTTTTATTAACATTCACTCCCACTCCACCCGGCCTTGCTCCAGGTTTGGCCCCAGCAGGCCCCACTTGCCCAGTCCGGTGAAGTCCTCCAGACAGCGCCAGCCCACATGTTTGAGTTTTCTGGCCTGAAACACACATCATTCCCTTCATTCCTCCCACCCCTCCTTTTGCCGAGGATAAGCAAGTGACTTTCTGCTACACGCCAGTGTTCCGATGTTTGACATTAATATACTCAGGGCCGAGCTGTTATCATCCCTCTCCCTCGGCGGAATGTAAGTGCATTTAGCTGAGTTTTCATTTGCATTCCTTCCGTGAGTTGCCCCGGATTTAATGGCTGCTCCTTTAACTTAAAATACAAGTATCAAAATGCGCTTGGCGTTCCTGAGCCAGGGTAGAGGCCAAGGGTAGGGAGGTCAAGTGGATGGCGCAGGCCACAGAACAGCAACCTGAAAACAGATGCTGGGTGTTTCCAGGCTCAAAGTCGAGGGAGCCGGCACCCCCCTCATTCCATCCCCTACTCTTTGAGCCCTTTTTTTTTGCAACCTCAGAACTTGCCAAACAGCTTTCATTTATTTTCCAATTAAAATGCAAATCATTCGCTTTTAAGCACAGCCTCTGCTATAGATACATACCTTGCAGGGATGCACCAGGACTTTGCAACCACGTGTCACACGTTCAGCTGGGGGACGGGATGCTCGGAAAAAGTCATGCTTTATTAGGTCTCGGGCAGGAGGGCATGCTGGTCCCCAGGAGGCCCCCAAGGGGCAGCAAGTTCTGACTCTTAAGGGGCATTTGAATGCCGGGTGCAAACACGGGCCGATCAGCAAACGGCCTCCTGCACCCGCTCCAACATCAGCGTGTCCACGGCTCAAGGCAGTTTAAACCCCGCAGTTGGAAAGGAGAGCAGGGCCATCTCTCCCCCTTCGACAGAGAGGCGCAGCCCACTCCCTCCGAGAAGCTTCCCAGTTCCCCTGGCTCCCAGCTGGGGACAGACGGAGCAGGTCCACGGCAGCCGGCACCCGGCAGGAAGCACCGGTCTCCCAACTGGCGCGGAGCGGGGTGCGCCTGGAACGCATGCCGTCCTACGCGGGATTCAGGCACCCGGGCCTCATCCTCCCCCAGGGATCAAGGTACCCGGACCCAAGAAAAGTATTAATGCCATAATTAGGAACAACGTTGCCATTTTAATCCTGCCGTGTAAATGAGGCACGAAAACTAAGTACGGAGATTTCTGCACCAGCCCTGGGAACCACTCGCTCAATGCAGTTAAATGGGGCTAGGAGCGAATCAATTTCTTTTTTCCTCCGCCCTACCTTCTCAAGTTCCGACGTTGGGTTCACAATAGAAAAAGGTTCCACTCTTTCCTGGGTCACAGTATTCACAGAATATCAAAGGGGCCACTGTTTTGAGACTGGACTTTTTGGGGATCCCTAGCTCCCTTCTCTCTCCGATCCCCGCTGTCCAGAGCATGCACGGCTCTGGAGGATGCGCGGAGGTCGCTGGAGGCCCGGGCAGTTTGTGTCACCGCAGCCAGGCAGGGTCCCAAGGCCAGAGGAAGTTTTCTGTGTGAGGAAACCAAGCACAGTGACCACCCCAGTCCAGGGCCGGAGCCAAGCCGCGGCCGCCACCCTCCTCCTGCAGCCTCCAAAGCCTCCAACCGGGGCGAGAGGACGTTGGGGCACAGATACCAGAAGAAGGTCCCCGCAGCTCCTCCCGGAAGGGTTTTCCCTTCCCCCAGGTCAGATTCTAAAGTTTACCGAGTGCCCGGCTTAACCCGCTGTTGAAGTCAACGAAGAAGGGCGGGGAAGAAAGAGAGGGGCCTGGCGGCACTGCTTGAGTCTCAGAGGTGAATAAAAGTGGCAAAGCACAGGCAATCCCCCAGTCTCAGTCTCCACCTCAAAGCTGGTCACCCGTAAAGGCCCGCGCTTGCCAAAGGACAGTTGCGGGAGGGGAGTGAGCCCGCAAGCGAACCCGCAGGAGGGCTCGGGCGTTCTCAGCCCGGTCCGCGCCTCGGGGTTGCGGCTCCCGTTTCGCTCTGGAGCCGTCGGTTGCATTTAGGTCTGCTTTCCGCTAAATGGTCTCAACCAAAGCGCCGCCCCTCCAAAAAGGTGCGTTTCTGGGACAAGCCGGCTTCCCGGAGCCGTCCAGGGTGCGCCTCCCTCGGCCCGCCGGGAACTGGAGGAGCCGCCGGGCAGGGTCTGAGGGGCAACGACGGGAACCCGCGTTCGCCTCCGGCCCCGGGGGGCGTCCGTCCCCGGCTCTGCCGCGGCCCTGCACGGCCCCACCTGAATGCTGGTGGTTTTTGTCAGAGTGCCCATCGCAGGGGACGCCTGAAGGGGAACTCGCTGTGGGCACGTCACACGAGAGGGAGGCACTCCCGAGAAGCGGAGCCCGTTCCCGGCGAACCGAGGCAAGCCGCCTTCTGAGGAAGACCTCTGGGACCCCCCCCCCATCCCCGCCCGGGGGCGAGGGCAGAAGCGCGGGACCGAGAACGGCGCGGGGCGGCGGCGCGGCGGAAAGATGCGAGGGGCCGGCCCTGCGGCCTACGAGAGGATTAAGGGCATCTCCGGGCTTAAGCAGCAACAAATTAATTTACACAATTCGAGGAGAGCCCAGATGGCCTGTAATTAATCCCTTCAAAGGAGGGAGCCGGGCCGGGCCGCGCCGGCTGCCGGCTCCATTAGCTTCATTTCGTCAGGGCCCGGGGCTCGGTTCGAGGTGAGGCGCCGGCAGCAGGAGTGGGGGGACCGGGGGTGGGGGTGGCCTGACGCGAGCGGGCGAGAGAGAAGCGAGCGAAGACTATGAACTGCTTTTCCATAAAAGGACCGGCTTTTTCATTATTCCTCTCTTTAAAAAGTAATGCCCTCTCCGTCTCTGCTCCCCCCCTCCCCTTCCCCGTATTATTTAACACAATTAATTGAGGCGCCCGCCGGCCCAGCCGCGGAGCCGCGCCGCTCGCCAGGCCCCGCCCCGAGGGGGGAACGGAGGCGGGAAGGGGCAGGGCTTAGGCGGGCGCGGCTCTACGCCTCGCGCGCCTCAGCCAATCAGAGGGTGCGGCGCTCCCTGGTGGGCGTGCCCCAAAGGCGGGGAGAGGCCCTAGGCCGCGAACTATTGGAGGCGATGGTTACGCCCCCGGCCTGCGCCCTGCTCCCCGGCCCCGCCCCTCCCGACCGCGGAGGAGTGACGTCCCTCAAAGTTCTCGTTTTGTCCCCCCAGGCCCCCTCCCCTCCGTCCCCCCAGCTAAAGAGGGGTAGAGAGTGATGCAAATGTTTTATTACCTTTGAGAGCTTCATCCGAACTGTCAGGCCCGGAGGGGGAGAGGAGAGAGCGAGCGGCGGAGGCGCGGAGAGGTTCAGTTCGGCCCTCGGACAGGACTCGGAGGAGCGAGGCCGGGGAAGGCGCGGAGAAAAATGTCAGCGAGCGGAGTCCACCGCCGGGAGTGAGGAGGCGCGGGCGCTGGGGGTGGGGCGGGGCGCCGGGCCCGTTCGCAGGAGAGGACCGGCGAGCGCAGCCCGAGCCCACCCGGTCGCCTTTCCGCACGCAGCCTTTGTTTTCCGCGCTTTTTTTTTTTTTTACCCCCTCATTCCCCTCTCTCTTTCCAATACCGCAACTCGAGGGCCCGGTGGCCCGGAGGGGAAGGCGGGCCCGCGCCCGGATTCGGGAAAGCGGGGGCCGGCGGTTCGGCCCCTAGTGTCGCCGCAGCCCGGGACGGCGGCGGCGGAGCAGCCCAAGCGCAGGCAGGCGAGGTCCTCCTGGGCTAGACGCGCTCCGTCCGCGCTCGCGCGCTTGCCGAGGCCGAGTGCGCCGGCTGAGCCTCGCGGCCGAGGGGCAGCGCCTCCGGGCCCGAGGAGGGCGAGCCGGCTGCCGGCGCGGGGATCCCGCGGCGCCTAACTTTGTTACAAAGTCCCGGGGGCCGGTCTGGGTTTGACTCGGTCGCCTTTCCGTGGGAGGAGAAGATGCGAAGCAGCGCGCCCTGAGCCGACAGAAGACAAGTGAGGAGGGGCAGCGAAGAGCCAGGGTTGGACCAGGGATCCCGGAGCCCAAGGACAGCAGCAGCCCGGGGCCGCAAACCCCATCCTCGCCAGTGGCGCAGCTCGGAGCCCCTCTCGGCGGCGGCGCCCCCGCCCGGTGGGCAGTCGCCTCCCCGGGGCGCTCCGCCGCTCCTCGCTAGCGCGCGCGCGGGGCACTACCAGTCCCCTGAGCCCCGCTGGGGCCACCGGCCGGCGCCCTCGCTGCGTGGCTGCGGGCTCGAGCCTGGCCGTGGGATGTTAGCTGTAGGGGCGATGGAGGGCACCCGGCAGAGCGCATTCCTGCTCAGCAGCCCTCCCCTAGCCGCGCTGCACAGCATGGCCGAGATGAAGACCCCGCTGTACCCCGCCGCGTACCCCCCGCTGCCCGCCGGCCCCCCTTCCTCCTCGTCGTCGTCCTCGTCCTCCTCGTCGCCCTCCCCGCCCTTGGGCACTCACAACCCCGGGGGCCTGAAGCCCCCGGCCGCCGGGGGGCTCTCGTCCCTGGGCAGCCCCCCGCAGCAGCTGTCGGCCGCCACCCCTCACGGCATCAACGACATCCTGAGCCGGCCCTCCATGCCGGTGGCCTCTGGGGCCGCGCTGCCCTCCGCCTCGCCCTCGGGTTCCTCCTCCTCCTCCGCCTCGTCCGCCTCTGCCTCTTCTGCCTCCGCCGCCGCGGCCGCGGCTGCGGCCGCCGCCGCCGCCGCCTCCTCCCCGGCGGGGCTGCTGGCCGGCCTGCCCCGCTTCAGCAGCCTGAGCCCGCCACCGCCGCCGCCCGGCCTCTATTTCAGTCCCAGCGCCGCGGCCGTGGCCGCCGTGGGCCGCTACCCCAAGCCGCTGGCCGAGCTGCCCGGCCGGACGCCCATCTTCTGGCCCGGAGTGATGCAGAGCCCACCCTGGAGGGACGCGCGCCTGGCCTGCAGCCCTCGTGAGTACGATCGCCGCCCGCCTGCTCTGCGCCCAGTGCCCGGGTCACCACCCCTGGTGTGCAAAGCAGTCGGCCAGCTCGTTCCTGACTGCCCTGGTAGTCTGGCAGCGCCGGAATCGCACCGTTAAGGCTGAGCTGTGGCTGAGCCGGGACGCCTCGCGAGGTGCTCATTTCCCTGAGCTCGTCCAAGCGCACCTCTGTCCCCAAGGCTTGGGCGTGCCTTGGTTGTGCCACTGTGCGTGTGTCCGTGTGGAACACAACGCAGTGCGGGACGTGTGTCTCGTCTGAGGCAGGGGCTGCTGCCCAAACGGCCAGGCCGGTGCCGCTGGCCTGGCCTGGGGTAGAGAGAGAGGGAAGGGAGGAGAGGCCCTCCCACCCCTGCCTACTTACATCCCAGTTTTTCCCGCTCCTGAGAGCCAACTGGGTCCCCACGGCGCGGTCACCAGCTTCACCCGCCGCCTGCTGCGAACCAGTGAGGACCCAAAGCCACTAGCCCTGCCCCGCACAGAGCGAGGTGTATTTGCGTGTGCCGGGGCTGACCCCAGCTCACCTCCTGGGCCTCACCGTCCTACGTCCCCCCAGCTCCCTCGGCCTCAATGAGCCCCTTGGGGACCGGCCGGCCGTTCCAAAGCAGAGCGAGCGCGGAGGCACTGCGGGCCGCTCCTCGCCGCCGGGCCGGGAGCTGCGCTTTCGCACCCCCCGGGACCCGGGGGCTGGAACGCTTTGGGTCGGCGCACACTGAGGGCCATCGTGGGGCGTTCAACGCCCTAAAACTTAAAAGGGCCTGGGGAGGACCAGGAGAAAGGACGCGGACCGACGTGACATCCGCGAGACCTTGCTCGGGGTGACCCAGTCGCCCCCAGATCCCGCTAGTTTTCCCAGCCGCGCCGAGGAGGCCACGCGCCTTCCAGGTGGCGGTCAGGGCCCAACCCCGGGGTGGCCTTTTCTCGCCTTGTTCTATTCCCCGAAGTTTCTAAGCCCGGGGTGGGGGCTCTGTCGCATGGGTGAGCACCAGCAAGTGCGGGCCATTGCGGGAGTCCCGGCTTCGGGGTGTCGGGGAAACGCTATTGTAACCATTCCGATGGCCACGCAGGGGCCACCAACAAAGGCTGCGCCCCCTCCCTCTCCCCCGCGGCCGCAGGGGCGTTACACTTGGGGGCGATTTCACTCCCTTGAGCGAATAGACAAGGAGCCCTTTGTTGCCCGGACACAGGTTAAGGAAGCGTTCAAAGGAAAAAAAAAAAACGGGGAAAAAAATAAAAACAAAACCAAAAATAGTTGTCCTCCTGCAAAGGCCCCGGGGCGAGCGGGCACCGACCGGATCAGAGGAAAGCGGGGGTGGCCTTTCCCCGACACCCCTTGATTGCATGGGACCTCACCACTCGGCTCCCACAAACTTTAGCCGTAGGATCCCTGGACGGCAACCTCGGTGATGCCGGGCAGAAGGCATTCGCCGCTGCTCCGCACACACCTGGTTTTTTTTGAAAACAGGTGCGCACGGCGTGGAAAGGCAAAGGGAGCCGCGCCGTGGGCCTGGAAGCGCCTCGTCTCTAGTGGTGCCCGCCACGGACGAAAGCTCTCTTTGCCAGCGAAACAAGGCTTTGGGGAGTTTCGTTCCGCTCACCGCTACCCCAGAGCCCCAGTGGAGCCACTTGTAATCAACCATTGTACCCACCTCTTCCCTCCCTCGCTCTTTATCGGTAGATCAAGGGTCCATTTTGCTGGACAAAGACGGGAAGAGAAAACACACGAGGCCCACGTTCTCTGGTCAGCAGATCTTCGCCCTGGAGAAGACTTTCGAACAAACGAAATACTTGGCGGGCCCCGAGAGAGCTCGCTTGGCCTATTCGCTGGGGATGACCGAGAGTCAGGTCAAGGTGAGTGGGGCACACCTGGAGGCGATGGGCCGGGAGCGCACGGACACAGACACACACACAGACACACACAGACACACACACACACACGCACACACTGCCGGCGGCGGGGGAGGGGTGCGGGGTGCGATTCGGAGGAGCCTGGGGAGAAGTTGATGGCCGCGAAGGGGGGTGGGCTCTTACAAAGACGCTGGGGTCTTGCGGGCGGGCAAACTGTTGCTGAACAAAAGGAATCCAGCCCCCGCCTTTGAAATTAGGTTAATCTAGATAGCAGCCTGTGCTAGGGGAACTCGCCATTATTGGAGAATCAAAGCGTTACTGAAATATCAGCCCGGGGACCTGATCGGACCAGTTAGATAGCTTCTATTTATTTCGTTTATAAAGATTCTGAAGCTTTTGTTTGACGCTTGGGCCACCACCGGTTACATTCTCTCCTAATGTAAATCAGCATTGTAATGCTTCTATATTAGTATTAACTTGCAGATTTTTTTTTATCAATTCCCTCAGATAAGCCTGCTGCAGCCTAGATGAAGGCAATTATTTTGTAATAGTAATTTTCCAAATGAATTGATGACATCATTACTGTATAATAGGATTCGATTCTGTTTAAAATATGCTTATCAACGTATTTAAAATGCCCTGTCTCAGACAATTTATAATTAAAATGTCACTTTGTTTCTAGTTGAGTTGCACACTACACTCCTAAGGAGTCAAATTTTAGAACTCTTTCCCTGAAAAATAAAGGGATTGAGCCAGCCGGGCAAATTCATTTGCATGATGACTTCCTATATTTTCAGTTCACCTTCCCCTCCTCCAGTTAACATTTGTTTCTTTGGGGTACAAGTCTGTTTTCATTAGTTATACTGTTGCTTCTTAAGTAGGAATAGTGTAACTGGGTCTGCTGACTGCAGCCTGTTTTCCCCTGGACAAGCATCATAAAATAGATTTCAGTAGTGATTCTGTACATGGCCATTAGAATACCATCAGGGTTAAAATTATTTTTGCAGTGGGTGGGTACAGAGCCAATCACAGTAATCTGAAGGGCTGCATTTGTCATAAATATGTCTGCCTGGCTACAGGTGAATTATTACAGCTGTGTAAAGAAAATCAAAATCAGTTTCTTAACTATTCTGATTCCCTAGATAGAATACATAACAGATAAGAACCATCAAGAGAGGGTAATTCAATATCCTTGAGAAATGGATTGCTTATTATCGATGCTTAAAGTTAAAATATGTATCTCAAGTTGTCAAAAAATCATGAATAGGCTTGAATATGTGTACGTAAAATGAATGTCTTGGGCAGGAACAATGTTAAAATAATTTTGGAAAGAATAGGCATGCTAATATTGGAAAACTATACTTGGCAAACTTTCACTTTTTAAAAGTAACTGATGATAATTCTAGCTTTCACTGTACTTTGAATTTTATGGACATCCTACACTCACAGAGGGAGGCAGGGAGAGAAAGGACCGAACTCCCAGGATGATTTTGACAGTCATCATTTTTCATATATTTATGTCAGTTACTGCGAGTGATTTGAGATTTGCATCCTAGCAGAGTTTTTAAACTTTCCGCATTGGAAGTGCAGACGGGGTGGTTGTTTCTCTGCCATTTTTGCGCACAGTTGAGGCCTGAGGTAGGCGAACAGACCAATGTGGGAAAGGGAAAGGGAGCGCGGAGTTGCTGGCGGGCGAGCGCTGTGCCTTCGCCCACACACCACACCGAGAAGCAAGGGTTGTTTGAGATCCCGTCGTCCAGGAAGGCAAATAAGGAGTGAAAAATCAGTCACCAGGGGAAAGCTTTACGAATCCGTTTTCTGCTTCAGACTAGGAAGCAGCCAAGCAAACTCGTTTTTTTTGGGGGGGGGGGGGAGAGAAACTCATTTTAAGTCTCCAAGCTGCGTTTTCACTGTTTGGAGAACTCGCTCGCCCACGACCCCACTCCGCGTGTGTTTCCATCGCTATGGCAACGGCCGGGAGCCGGGCGGTGCTGCAGGGCAGCCGAGGGGAAGCCGGCGCGGGCCCGGGCGGCGTGCGCGGGAGGAGGCGTGGCGGCGCGGTCTCACTCCCTCCCGCCCCCAGGTCTGGTTCCAGAACCGCCGGACCAAGTGGAGGAAGAAGCACGCGGCCGAGATGGCCACCGCCAAGAAGAAGCAGGACTCGGAGACCGAGCGGCTCAAGGGGGCCTCGGAGAACGAGGAGGAGGACGACGACTACAACAAGCCCCTAGACCCCAACTCGGACGACGAGAAGATCACGCAGTTGCTGAAGAAGCACAAGTCCGGTGGCGGCAGCGCCGGCGGCGGCGGCCTCCTGCTGCACGCGGCCGAGACCGAGGGCTCGTCCTGAGCGCCCGCCGCGCCCGGGGCCCGGCCCCGCGGCCGGCCCCCAGCTATTTTCTGAGATGTACATATCTATTTTTTTAACCTGGGAGTTGGGGAGGCGGGGGCTGGGAGTGGAGAGGCTCGGGGTTGAGGCGAAGGCAGAAACAGTGCACCGCGTACAACACCCAACCGAAACCCGAAGCCGGACACCGACCCGCCCTTGGGGTCCCCCGGCCGAGTCCGCGTTGGCGGCCAGCGGCCTCGGCGCCGGGGTCCCCGCCGGCCCCTGGGCTTCGGCCCCGCAGTTCCGCTGGCGGGGGCACGGCTCGGAGCTGCAGCAGGTGCCTCCCGGCGCGCGGGGCCCGGGCGCGCGCTCCCCGCTCTGCTGCCGCGCAGACTACGGTCACCTGTTGAAGGCTCTTTGTAAATAAATCGTGAGTCACACTGACTAGAACTTACTTTATTGTGAATATTTAAAATGTAAAAAAAAGTTTTTTTTTTTTTGGAATTTGGTATAAAAAGGTGGGACCTCCTTCTTCCTTCAGCCCCTTCTCCTCCTAAGAGCCGTTCAGACGTTGTCCTTTTATCTGAGTCTTAATTGGAGACGCGTAGAAAAATATGTCACCGCCCCCTGCCCCCTTCCGCACTTCCTCCTCCCGCCCCTCTTCCCGGTTTGGGGTTTGCGGAGCCTCCCCGGCTCCCTGCGGCCCCCTCGGTCTGCCCCAGGACGTAAGGCAGAGGACGTGGGAACCTGGGAGGGCCTCACACCTGCGTCCCTCTCTGAAATTGCACAGTCGTTTGTTGCTATTTATTAGTGATTTAAAGAAAGTATTGGGGGAGGGAGGGGCTACAATAGCTTGTATTTAATTTAACTCCTTTCTGATACAAATATGTGTTAAAGTAGATGGTGGGGATTGTTACAACTGCTCTGGGTCGGAAACATAAAAATCCACTTAGTTGCTGTATTGAATTTGAAGTGTTTTGTATCATAAGATACTATAGAATATGTAAATTGTTTTCTTTTTTTAAAAGGCTAATAACAGTGATATATTAGCATCTTTAACCTTTATTAATTTATATAAGGAATTCGGTTTGTAAAGAGAAGAAAATCCCCTTTGCAAGACCAGTTAAATGTAATGCACTTTCTGTTTCAAAGGATGAATCAAATTAAAAACAGTTTGAAGACGTCTGTTGCCTTGAGTGAAAGGGTACAGATCATTTGATCTCATCAGAGATCTCAAATAATAAAAGACCACAAAAATGTTATATCGGTTTCTTGAGTGAAATAGCTGTTGCTTACTTATTATTTATTTTATTATTTATTTATTTATTTATTTATTTACTTTTTGTGAAAGAGTGGGGTCACATCTCTCATTCTTCTCCATCAGAAAGCTAAGTGCAGCCCCACTCACAGCGCTTCCTGGAGAGACTTGTCCAGAGGACTGCTTCTGATGCCTGTGTTGTCTAATTTTTTCCTGATCGTTTTTTCCTTTACCAGGAAGTCCCTGGGGGACTTCGGGAAGACCTCATTTCCATATATCCAAGATAGCTCCTCAGTCATCCCCGCGAGTTCGATTAGCTTAGAGGAGGCAGTGAGCTGGGTAGCAGCCCTGCTGTTGGATGTACATATTTCCCACTGTAGCCTGGAAGACTGCAAAATTGGTGGAAAGACAGAAACTCTGATTTTGCTAACTATTCCTTTAAAGAAGGATGAATTTAAAGAAAGCCTCTGTAACTAACTGGTGTGAAAGTCTGAAGGGTTAAGGAAGCAGTGACATAGATGCTCCGGTTGAATGTACAAAATTTTTTGGAAGTACCTGGGGCAGGGCTCTGTCACTGTCCTGAGATCTTTTTGTTTTCAGACAGCCATAGGCTCAGTGAAATATCGTTACCCCTTAGTGTTTCAGGTTAATGAGCTTGTGTTCAAAGAGAGAAAAATCAATACCATGCAGCAGATTCTCCAAGCTAATGTTACGTAAAGAAAGCATGGGTCCCTTTGTTCCCTTGAAAATAAAAACAGGTGAAAACAGAATTTTTTACGAATTCACCAGATGAAATTGCCTAGGAATCCATCATAGAATATATTCCTGATGGCATGGTTTAACACAGAGAAAGTATGAAAATGTGCCTTCTTTTTCTCTAGTTTACAAAGTTCTCAAGAAGTTTTAAACTTCTCTGAATTTCTGTCTTCTTAGCAAGACTGAAGTAGGTGTGTGACAGAGAGAGGGAGCTGTTCTGAAGGAGGCTTTGCTGTGCTGGGGTGATGTCATTTCTATCTTAACTATTTACAGAGAGGACAAACTTTCTTCCTTTCTCTTCTTTTTCATCCCTCCCTCCCGTTCTTCTTTCTTTCCTTCCTTTCTCATCCTCCCTCCCTCCCGCCCACTTTCTTTCTCTGTTTATGAAAGAACCCGGGCGGAGGGAGAACAAACCTAGACTCCAGCAATTGCACTTTTTCCTTGTTATGTTATGGCAAACATAAAACCTCTTTTCCACTTTATTTTTAAAAAAATTCTTACCCATCCCTTTTCTGCCTTGAACGGCCAAACAACTTTTTATTTATTCCTTCTTCTTAAGAAAACAAAAAATGCAGGATGTAATTAGAAGTGTTATTCCTAGAATATCATAATAAATTAATAGTAATAACACAGTAGTATCAGTCATAGGAAACTTGAATCATAGACTGAAGCCTTTCCTTACTAAGTAGGTTGTTAGCATTTATTCCAGGCCAGAAGTGTGGAGAGATGATGCTTACAGCCTGTAGGAAACAGTTCCTCTGAGCTCTTCACCTTGACATCTGAGCATGTGAAAACCTGGTAGCCTGGCTTCCACCCACAAATGGGCAGAAAACTAAGTCTGCAAGCTTGCCAGTCTGAGCACTGGTGGGCGGGGACTGTGGTAGCAACTGGAGTCCGCTCAGGGACTGTGCTGCACTGGCATTCCTTGCTTTTTTCCAGCTGACTGCAGCAGTGACTTGAGGTTTCCAGCTGAATTACTTCTACTGGTCCCATAAACTGGGAGTGAGGGAGAAGTAGGGTGGACATACCTCAACAAGTTCCCTTTATCTTTATGGGCTTGGTTTAGTTCCCTTCCTGCATGTATGACAAAAACATTTTTTCATAAGTGTTGGTGTGGTAGGGGAGCTGAGGATACACTACAACTCGAGCAATGGAGAATTAAGAATCACTTTTCATTTTGGCCCCCAATTTTTATTACACTAACAGCCATGAGCATCTGTCGAAGGCTGCCAATTTGTGTTTCAGCTAAAGGGGAGGGACATGCTCTAAAAACAAAACAAAACAGAAGAAAAAGTCACAGCAAGTGGCTTGGAGGACCACTGCTTTGAAAATGCTTGCAGGCAACAAAATGTCAGCAATGGGAAACAAAAAGAGAAAAGCAAGGTTTTTGTGTGTTGAAAAAGAGGATAAACCTGCCTTTTCAGTTTTGTTTTGTATTTCTTTTCCTAAAAAACAAAAACAAAAACGAAAACAAAAACAAAAAACAAAAAAGTAAGTCTAGGAAGCTATGTGAGAGATACGGAGTGCAAGTAGAGGGTCTGGAATTTGCCTATCCAACATTCCATGCTCCTACTCAGTTTGCTTTTTAACAGATCCCAAGGTCCAAGCTCAGTTCTCCCAGTTGGTGATTCATTTTCTCTTTGGTTCATATTCAGGCGTAACTCAACGCCCTGTGCCTTTCCTCCCCAAAGCTGTGGTGGAATGAGCAGTTTTTCAAGCTTGTGAACACTTTGATCCACTTTTCCTTTTCCCTATTTGGGAGACAGTGGGGGAAGAGGGAGAACCAAAAATTATCCTCTGGAAATTTCCTCATCACTCCATGGGCAGGCAGTTGTGGCTGGAGGCCAGCTCTTCTTGGAAATATTGTAGTTGGTAACAGACACGAGACTCAGAGGGTGCATTTGTACCCTGCTGGAGCCTCATGTCATGTAAGTGAGAGATGGGTATGTTATTAGCCCAGTGTCAGTGTGGGGACATCCACTGGCCTGTCCTTTAAGCTGGTTATCAGCAGACACACCACACACACACACACAGAAGCACACACGCACACAGGAGAGGCGAAATTCCACTTGGGCACTCCTAGCACTGAATAGCTTAAAGAGACAGTGGCTCCTTTGTTAATTGTTGACACCAGGATTGTGTAATCACAGAAGTAAGGGGGAGATTTCACCTACAAACTCCATTTTGGGTTAATTTGAACACCCTGCTCTGCACTAAATTTCCACCTTTTTTCTGCACAAACAGTTACATGCAAAAAACGTTTCCTTCCAGATGACTTCTTCCCCCAAAATCCAGTTCTTCAGAACACTTCCTTTTTTTTTTTTTTTTCTCCAGGCTCCGAGCTTTAGAGAGAAATGCATTCTCCCTGATGTAGGCCTTTTAAAGATCTGTAGAGAACAGGACTATACACCTCCCACCTGCTGGTGAGAAGTTTGACTGGGAGTAGCTATGGCCTGAGCAAGATGACTGAAGGGACAGAGTGTTTTCCTGAAATTTAGCCATCAGTGTTTCACACATTGGATTGGAGTTGTTCCACAAACAGGAAAGTTTATCTTAGAGCCTGGGTTTATTCTCCAGTCTTCCTATTTGACTCAATATCAGTCATCCAAAGGCAAAAAGTCTAGATGTCTACATCATTTTTTCTGATGCCCCAAGCCAGACATTGAGTGTCACATGTGAGGACTTTGAAAAGTACAGCATTGTGGCTCCATGGTGTTAGCTATGTACTGATGCCTGGCCACAATTCTAAAGTCTAAGCCTCATCCAGAGCTGTTATTTTGGTGTACTATGAATAATTAGAGCTGGTTTGCATGAGAACACTTCCTCACTGTGGAGAAAAAGAAGAGTTCTTACTTTACAATTTAAATAGGTCATATTATTTTTATAGGGGAGTGCTGCCACCTCTCACATGTTGTTCTTTCTATGTGTCTACCCTGGGACAACCTAAAGAAGCATCGAGGTGTAATTATTCAATGTATTTTGTTATGATGGAGAAAGGTATACCAAATGGAGACTAATACATAAACCCTGTTTTCCTAGGCAAAGTGGAACTTTATTTTTTTGGTGGTGGTGGGGAGATTGTACAATTATTATGAAAAATTACCAATTATCAATAAGTTGTTTGGGACAAATCTTCTTGTATGGATCACAGAAAGTTAAGGTTGCTGAAACCCATTAATGTATTTATTACCATATAGTCTAACCATCTTCAAGCAAAAGCATCTGACAAGTGTTCCTTCCTCTGCTATGAGCCCTGGACTTGGAGCCCTGGTTTGCAGTCATTTCTCCAGTTGCCATCTGAAGCTTGGGCCCTTGTGCTTGTTGCTGTGTCTCAGCTCTTGATAAGAATTTTGTAAATCTCTTTGCCCCCTGGATGTTTAATCTTCCTTCCCTGTGTTCTGGACTTGGTCTGTAAGGATTTGTTTCTCTTTCCCCCAAGGCCAATTGGTTCTAAGTGAATGAGGTTCTGAAAAACCTTTCCTCCTTGCCACAATCAGGAGATCATACAGTGGCTGAGAGCAAGGCTCTGGAGCCAGATTACCTGGTCTGAATTGCAGTTCTATCCTTGACTGGTTGTATGATCTTGGTCAAAAGACTTTACCTCTCTGTGCCCTTGTATTGTCATCTGTAAAATAAGGTTGTTAATGGCACCTACTTTATAGTGTTGTTGGGAGAATGAAGTAAAATGCATATACATGATTTTAAAATCAGTGCCTGGCACAAAAGGAGCTATGGAAGTCTTCACCACCACCATCATCATAGTTATCACCATCATCATCGTTATCAACATCAAGAAAGGCCCTGTTTCAGGTTACTTTTAGTTTGGGCCCTGCTGTCTTGTGCAAAGACATAGACGGAGGCTAATCTTTTTGTTTTGTTTTGAGGGTGGGACTGTATTTCCTGTGTTGCTGCCAATGAATAGCACATAGTTTATGCTCCTTGTTCCCTCTCTTATTTCACTCTGGGTGATGTCAGCTGCCGTTATCCTCAAGGAAAAGTCTCTGTGGTAAGGAACCCAGGCTTCTCCTGGGCCAAAAAAATCCCTCCTGGTGTGCAGGGAGTGCAGTGAGTTCTGGAAGCAGATCCTGAAGTTCCAGTCAAGCCTTTACAGGACAGCAGTCATTGCCCACTTCTCCACAACCTTACTTGAAGCCTTGAGGCAGAATCACTCACATGAATTCTCTGAGATTCTTGACTCAGAGAAACCATGTTAGATAGTATATGTTCAGTCCTTTAAGCTATTAAGTT